CTCTGCCTCTGAGTCGTGAAAATTTCCGGCGCAGTCGCCAATGCACTCAGTAAACATGCACGAACGACGACTCCAAAAAGAGCTTCTGTTGATCGCCGCGGGCGTGCTCGCAACCCGCCTTCCGCCGTTGGCTGCGGGCGCTCACGAAGCAGACGGTGCCCCGCCAGGCTCTGGGCTGGCAGCTGCGAGCGCTGGCCAGCGGGTCGTCTCCGAAATCGCACGGTGACGATTGATCCTGCCGCGCTGACTTGTAGATGAACTTAAGGACCCTGCGGCGCATTATGCTCACATTGGCCCGGCGCATCTAATCCACGATATTAGCAGCCGCGCGTTGGTTGAATAACATTGGCGATTCCTCTGGCCGCAGCCTGAATCTGAACATATGTCCGAACTTCTCCAACTCCCAAATTCGCATCGACCGCAATAGCCCCGCTGAAACCTGCCAAGACCCTGCCCCGAAGATCGCCGACGCTGCCGGGCACTCGTGCCAGGCGCGAAGCCTTGGGAACACAGGCCCCGCGCGCCCAAGGTCTTCGCACGACGAAAATATATACCACCTGCTCGGGCTCGCCCGTGGGAGGCACTTGTATCTGCAACGCCCCCACCTGCTCGCGCGTCAAGCGCTCGGCCGACTGCAAGACTGCGATCGGTGGGGAAACTGGCTGTCCGGCCAACGTTCCTGACGGTGGAACCTGTCAGGACGACGGCTTCCATCGCAGGCTTCCGGATGGCATCGCCGTGGTGAGCTCGCCCAGCATGGCAGTCAGCATACCCACCTTCTCCGCGAACACGATAATGTTGTCTGCCCACACGGCGCGGGACGCCATGCATCTGCCCTGACCGATGTCCAAACTGAAACCCATGCCTCTTTCACGCCAGCTCACGACCAGGGGCTCGAGAAGGTAATCCAAGACACAATTCCATTCATATGGAGTCTCTGCGCCGCCCTGCCCCCCGCCCCTCGCGCGCGCAAAGGGTTCTGCAGCACCAGCACCAGGAAGCCATGACTGCTCGAAGGCCCGTGATCTCTCGCATCCGGACCCCCGAAGTCTGAGCCGAAACGCCCCTGCTGCGGAATGCTGCATTGAGGAATGGCATCAAAAGCGGCATCGACGTCCTGGCCGGACACTAGCAGAGGGGAGCCCCAGCAAGATGCCGCGAACAATAGTTGCCAGGCCAAACCAACCACCAAACTGCTATTTGAGCGACGTTTGAAGCCGCAGGAATGCAGGCGTGAGGGGCGCATTTGGCGCCTCGAAGATGGGCGGATCCAACGCGCGCACCATTGCTGTAGGACTGGGGACTTGCAGATCCAGCTCAAGTCACCGAAGCCGCTCACATCGCGAATCCTGGGGGCACCGAGAAACTCCAACATATTCCAAACTGGGGCACTCGTGCGTCCATCTTGGAAGCCGTGACGGGCGCGGAATAAGGCGTAAACGTGAACAATGGTGAGAATCGGCAAGGAAGTATATACCTCTGGCGGGACTCCATCAGGACCAGGTGCGGAGCCTGCACGTAGACGGGCTCGTGCTTGCAGAAAATCCCAGAAGTCTGGCTCCTGCTGGATAGCGCCGTCAAGGGCATCGGCGACGGCTGCACCACGCACTCGGGCCAATCAGTCTCGTTGCTGCTCCTCCGCGTTCCCTGAGTCGGTAGATCGAGTCATTGCAAAATTTCCGAGGGGCGAAAACCACTGCGCACGATCAGATGGACGCTGGCGCTTCGACGCCGATCAGGTCCCAAACGTCTCGTTTCTGCCATTTCCAGCGGGCACGGAAGGCTGCCGCCCCAGACGATGGCAAGACCAAAGCACGTTGACCAAGAAGGCGGGGCTCATCTCGTCGACGCTCGCGGGTCGCGCGGCGGTCAACTTCGGAGGCACTTGTCCGACGCGCCCCCTCCCCCCCCCCAAAAAAAAAACAAAAAACGTCATGACCTTATCGCCCAAAGCCTCCGGAGCGAAATGTCGTAGCGCTTCGTCGCTGAACGGCGCCCACCCTTCGGGGGATGGGGGGTCGGCCCACGGAACTCCAGGAGACGGCCGAGCCGGACGCGGCGGTCGCACTTCCCCCGCACAGCTGGGCAGTCGCGCAAGTCTGGCTCCGGAGCCGGAGAGCAGGAACCGATAATATCGGAAGTGACCGCTATGAAGTGGAGTTGCGATCTGGCGGCGCGTCGCCGCTTCCATCCACGAGACCGCAAGAACTCACGGGCGCAATTGTCGCTGAACGTGTCCAGGGCCCGCAGACCGATTGCATTAGCCAAGACAATATCTGCCGCTGCCTGTCTAGTGCGTGACTGCGCAGGGGAGGGGGGGCTGCCTGACCCGCCACTCCAATGTGCGACGCTGGTAAAGTAACATTGGCATCAAGCACCGCAGTGACCGAGAGAGGTCGAGTTGGAAATCGTCGCGTGCACGCATCGAAGAATTATTGGGTTTCACGCTGGACAATTTCAACGTGACTTTCGGCCTGGCCCTCGAAGCTACCGCGCAGAAGATGCACGCTGAAAACCAAGAGCCCCGGAAACAATAGCCCACTTCAATGCGGGCGGTAGGTTTCATCACGGATCAACGGATTCAGGTCCATAGGCACTAAGAAACCACAATCGAATCAACCCCTGTGCTCCGCGAGATGTACTACGCACAGGCCAAACCTCGGTCCAGACACCCATTTGGGAACTCCATGCAAGCATACCACCGCACTAATTACCCCATCCCAAACTCGCCGACGAGGCAGCGATTGGTTTACCATTGCAAGGATTTCGTTGCAAGTAAAACCTAAACCACGATTTCATCGGTTGCAAAATGTGAATCCGCCTCGAGCCCCCCTCGCGAACGCTGCCGCTGCTTCCGGCGAAACTTCGCGAAGTGGGAGTCGGCGGCCCCAGGGCCCCGTATATTGAGTATCCGTAGGCCGGGCACGTTCCATCAGATGTCCCCGCCCTCCTGGACGTTCCCCACTGCACCGGCGGTTGCGTTGTCACCCTCGGATGTCTCGACCTGGACTTCAAATTCCGGGAACCACACCTTTTTGACCACCGCAGCCGCATCGACGTTGTCCTTCACAAATTCAATCAACTTCCCCGCGGTCGCGTACTGTTTGTGCACCTCGGGGGCCCTCTCCACGATCGCCCACACCTCCCTGCCCCCCCGGAGGGTGCGCCCGCGTGCATGGAGGCACTCGCGGAAATAATCGAACACCTCCTTGAGGTAGGGGAGGTCGACCGGTACAGTCATCTTGTGGTTGCGGGGTTGGGTGATCTGAAACGCTTTCACTTTGCTTTGCACCTCCTGGGGAAGTACACCGATAAGCCTATGATAAATGTCTGAAGCCTCGGACCTGGTAGCACCCTGAGTTGACACTTCTTCGAAGTCGCACAGGTTTTTGACCTCGATAAGACTTGGTTCGAATGTGCCCATCCATCCCCAAATATTATCCACAGCTTTCAATCGCGCTTCAAATTGATCTTGACGGCCCTCCACGTTCGTGAGGCGTTCCTTGCGCTCTTTGAGGTCCTTCTTGACTGGAGCAAGTTCTTTACGGTTCGCCTCGATGATGGCCGACTGCATGGCGGACGCCCACGCTGGCGGTTCCTGGCCCATCGCACCGGTTGGAAGCCCTACCGCGCGTGCCTTGCTGGCTGCCCCTCGAATCCAACAGGCCCCTCTTGGAGCCTTCTTGGGCCACTCTTGCGCCGTTTTGGGCGGCTCTGGGGCCGTATCGGGACTCTCTTGGGCCATCTTGGGGCACTCTTGGGGGACTCTTGGGCGTCTTGGAGCGGTTTGGGGAGCCTCTTGGGCGGTGCTTTAGCGCCGGAAACACGAAACAGCGAGAATGCAAAAAACATGTTTCAAAAAATGACAATCAACAATTCTGCCCTCTCGGGGCGCTCTTGGGCGGCATCTTAAAGGCCTCTTGAAGCGTCTCGGGAGCCTCCGGGGCAATGTAAAACACATCGTGCGTCCCCAGAGACCCCTTGACGGCGTCTTGAGGTGTCTCGAGACCGCCTGGGGCCTCTGTGGTTGCTGTCTGAAGGCTCCCCTGGGCGATTTTAAGCCTCTCAGAAGCGGGCCTCGGCCCTGGTCCCCACATTTGTGGTCGAGGTCCTGGCCCTCGGCCCCCGAGCACGGTGCGCCGTTAGAAGGGCCTGATCATTATTATCATCATTATTATGAGGATGATAATGATTATTAGTACGATATGATTGTCATTATGTTTGTGAGTTCCATGGTTGTTAATATTTTTTGTGTTACTAATTATCGTATTCCTATTAGTAGTAGAATCAGCACTCGTCTTCTTAATATTAATAGTATTAGTAAAAGTACGCTCATTAGTATTATCACTCGTCTCATTATTAATAGTATTTTCGTTTTCTCCGTGTTATTAGATTATGATAAAGAATCTTCTTGGCATTAGTACTGTGAGTGTTCTTCTTTTCAAAACTGTTCTATCTCTATTCGTCGTTTCAGTCGTCTCCTTTTTACTGGTTGTAATATTAGTACTGCTTCTTAGTGTTAGTAATATCATGATTATTTGGTGTTATTAATATTAGTCTTTTTAGTAGTATTACGACCATCATCCATAGCATTATTTGTCATATTTGTAGTCTAAAGATCAGACTACTATAATTTTGAAGTTCAGCACCATTCTTATTCATAGCATTGGTCGTATTAGTAGTAATAGCACCCGTAGTCCTTCTATTATTCGTAGCATTAGTATCAGCATTCTTATTACTATTACC